ATCACGCTGGGAAGAAAAGTGAACTTTTCGGAGTGAAAAGTGAAATTTCCGCCACATTGTGAGGAAAAATATTATTCGTAACTCCTGAAAAAATATTTTTTAACTCGTGGGATTATATCACTCGCCTTCGGCTCGTGATATAAACCTCCCACTCGCCAAAAAACACTTTTTTGCACTCGTTATGAAATAGTATATTTCAGCACGTGTGGGGCAATATCGTTTTTAACGTGTGTGGGGTTTACAGCATCAGCCAAAGGCGAGTGATGTAACCACACACGTTAAGGACGAAATTTCCCAACAAGTACTGAACAAAATTTTATGTCACGAAGCCTGAAACCGGCTGAATTAGACACGAGACGCGAAGCGTCGAGTGTGTAATCCAGCCGGTTTCAGGCTTCGTGACATAAAATTTTGTTCAGTACTTGTTGGGAAATTTCGTCCTTAACGTGTGTGGTTATATCACTCGCCTTCAGCTCGTGATATAAACCTCCCACTCGCCAAAAAACACTTTTTTGCACTCGTTACGAAATGTACTATTATGTCACGAAGCCTGAAACCGAATTAGACACGAGACGCGAAGCGTCGAGTGTGTAATCCAGCCGGTTTCAGGCATGAGTGGCATAATATACTATTTTGACACTCCAGCTACGTTCACCTCGTGCCGAAAAGTAAACGAAAAGTCTTTTCGTTACAATATATCGGCGATATAAAAAAGAAAAAAACGAAAAAGTCGAGACCTAGGCAAAATAACTGCTCAAAAAAATCGTGACGAGATGCACAAACCCAATGTCTTTCGAGATTGCAACGATTCCAAAACTTTTGATGTTTTTTCAGATAGTGATGACCTATCCAAAAAATTTATCGTGTAGTCTCGACGGCATCACTAGTTAAACTACCTAGAAAAAGTTATAACAATACTGGTATGCACTTTTACCAAACGACGGAATTTTTCAGAAAAATTCTAGTGCTGTTAAAGTACAATTTCTAAGGATTTCTGCAAAAATTTCCCGGGATTTCTGTGAAAATGTCATATAAGAACGGGAAAAATTCACCAGCTACTCATTTTCTCATCGTGCAGATTACCAAAGAACATTAAATTGCCAATTTTTCCACTCTATATTATTCTCGAGAAGAACTTCATTGTAATTATGATTAGAATCTAGAACATGTTGTTTTCATCAGTCGTATCGCTTTCTGCAATGAGAATAATTATAAACAATTAATCGAAAATACAAAATATCGCATTTAACGGAAAAAAAGGACATAACGAAAGGGCATTAACGATGGCGCGAGTGCATAAAAACAGCAATGGATGGATGAGAAATAGTATAAAATACCATAAAATGTAATTACCCCTAACGCTAACATCACCATACGATGTCGTGAATTTTACCAGTAATAGGGCGAGAGTAACAGACTAGCATTATCTACGTGCACATAACGTGTTTTCACGTGTGTGGATAGTGTAGTCCGTAAAATGAGTGGAGAAGGAAATTTCGGTGGGGTTAGTCCCAGTTGAACGCAGTGAGAGAGTTTATTCGGAAGTGCCGTTTGCCGAAACAAACCCCTCTTGGTTAGTATCCCCGGTTTGTCCTCTCTCCAGTCGTGTTGGCAAACAAACCGAGTAAATAATGTGTACGCGCGTGTACACCAGCAAATGTGTTCATTATTTCAATGTGAATTACCACTGGGTTAAAGTTTGTTTGGTTGTGATTCGAATTATTCTACGTTTTGTCAACTAATTAAGGCATTCGTTATTGTTTACAGTGGTTGAAGAATTATTACTGCGGTGTACGTGAGTATTTTTAATTGTTTCAATTACCACATTTGTCTTCAATTACTGTCGAATGAAACGTTTAGATGATTGTCGGTACAACGAATGGATTCAGGAAATTTGCATGCACTGTGAGTAAAAAATTAAATTTTATGAAAAATCGACTGCTAATTTTCAGGACGGTGACTCTGAATGCGATTCATGAGGAAAACAAGTCGGAAATTGCTTTTGTGTTGTATATAGTATAGTTATTTTTACTAATAAATTAGCAATATGCTTCTACCAAGTGTAATTAATTGTTTATATCATTTTATTAAATTGAATAAGATTTCCTTTTACCTAATTTTGTCAGATTTTCAACTTATTTGAATGTTATCAGCATCATTATTCTTATTATCCCTTTTTTTCCATTCAACCGATTGTCTTTTTTACAGTTCTATCTCTCCCCACAGCCTTTCGATCAAATGTTGATAGAAAAATTTTATTTATACATACTTGAATTAATTTGAAACATCCCATTTGAAAAAACCATCAGAAAGCTCACTTTCAGGGATATTCATGAAAAATTCAAAATTTTCAACAATCATCATAAAAATCAAATCAACCAATATAGCTATTGTCATCCTCTTTTAACTTCAACTTAATGGTATTAAAACAAACATTTGAGGCTATGATGGAATTCATTTGAAGCATGATATTCAAAGATATCTCCGGAATTCTGATTTTTATGAAATACAAAATTTTTGCAAATTTTCGAATAAATCAAAATAATGATTATTGCTATCACACGGAGAGAAATATTCATAAAAAATTACCAGAAAAAAGACGTAAAAATTACGTTTCGAAACGTAATCTGGGAGAGAAGTAAAATTCAATAAAAAGTGTCAATCGTCACGTAAATTCTACGATCTGTTCCGTAAAAATTACTCATCCGTCCGACGCCTCACGGCTAGCCATGAGTCACCGTGAGGGGGAGATTTTAACAACACGTTCCGTAATTTTTCCGGAACTTTTCGTAAAAATTCTTAAACATCCAAGAATTTTCATGTTCTGAGGCATAATAAGTCTTGAAGTTNCTTTTTGTAAAAATTCTTAAACGTCCAAGAATATGTTCTGAGGCATAATAAGTCTTGAAGTTTCTGTTAGATTTTACAACTTCCAGAAAAATTACGTGACTTTTTCGTATTTTTTCGGTGACAGACCCGAAAATTTACTGAACGTTTCAGATTTATTCTCTTATATTCCTATAGAAATTCACTGAAAACGATTCTCGCTTGCGGATTACGTGAAATGTTCCGTAATTTTTCTTGAATATTTCTCTCCGTGCACCTTCGTCTTCGAACTCGGTCAAAAGGACATCCAAACCAACTTTTAAGCCATCATTCAATCAAGTCAGAACATTTTTTTTAGTTATCGTGGAGCAAGCAATTTTCGAAAAAATTAAAAAATGGAAAAAATTAATTGATGAATTAAATTTTAATTAATGGCGATCGATAGAGCTCAACAATACTTGCATTTGAAAAAAAAAGATTCATTTCGGGCTTGTTGGACCATAATGGTTGAATATAACACAAAAAATCCAAAACTTAAATTTGAACGATTACAATGCTTCCATTCAGAAGCAAAGATCATGAAATTTCAGGTTTCTTTGAAAATTCAGAGAAATTCCAGAATTTTAAATAGCATAAACACGAGAATGTCTCAATTTATTGAATTTTCAATAAAATATGAATATTCGATGCCGAATTATACTGAATTGTGAGTGAAATCTGAATCTTCATGATGTTTTTACCCCGAAATCGCATTCAGTGTCACTGTCTTGAAAATTCAAGAATATATTTACCTAATTTTCTTGTTTTCTATGAATTTTCAGAGACAAATGGAACTGAAACTTACAGTTCTCATTGATTTTTCCACGGCATTCTTAATTTTCAATGACGAAATTCTGTGAAATTTCAGTGGAAATTGTATGCGATAAAAATTTACGAAAAATGGACCGGAAATTTCAGACAAAAATTTTTAACAGTGTGAATAAAAATAATTTCCCTCCGGGGGCATGTGCTCTAGAGATATTTGCAAATAAATTTGAATGGGAATACACTTGCTCCTAGTTTTATTGTGTACAGAAACTGGGAAGTGACCGACATTCACACTGCATGCATTTCGCGGATGTCCGTCAATCACCGGAAGACAGTGAGGAATAGAAATAAAAGGTAAAAGAATTGCTGAGAGAGAATATTTTTCACGTGTTTGATCAGCCTCTGGTGCAATATTTAACTCCATCTCGTACTCGTTATTTTTTTTTCTTATAAGAGATATTCTGGCGATGATACACATAAAAAAGTTTAATACACGGAGAGAAATGTTCAGTAAAAATTACGGAACTCACAATTCGCTCACCGATTACGGAATCGACTCAGAAAATTTAAGTGACGGTATCGTAATTTTTCACAGGAGATTCAGATAAAAATTACGGAACGCTCTGGAAAAATTCCGTGAAGGTTCCGTAAAATTTCCTACAACCGCATTTCGCTTCGGAATTACGGAAAAGGTACGTAATTTTTATTGAATATTTCTCTCCGTGTAGTACAACAGTAAATTCTGGGAATGACTGTGCAAAATTGAATACACACTTTTAAAAATTTTCGTCTGAATTTTCTGTGCCAAATTGCAGAAATTTTCATCGTATTCAAATTCCACTGAAATTTCAGGAAATCTTGTCATTGAAAAATCAAATATTCCATTGATTTTCTCGTCAAATGATCTGGAAATCAGTAAAATACTTGATTTTTCAGTTCAATCATTCCATGAAAATTAATATCATGAATAGTAAGTAAATCCCTCTACCAATGCATTCAATTATCTCAACTGTCCACAACGTTTTACTTTTTTCTAACATCCTATATTGGTTCTCTTCATATCGAATCATTATATTTTTCTCTCGTGATATTATCTATAAATTCAATATCATAAATTGACTTGCGGGGTCCTTCCCACATCGATAGTAATTCCTTATTCTTTTCAATTCTATTTCCCCCACATTCTTTCATCTTTCGCAACCCACTCTATTATATTTGTCACGCGTTCGTGCCACCCTCTCAAAGCAATCCGCCACTTCAATGGAAAAATTTCTCCCCGGAATTATTTCACGCTCGAAAAATTCGTCGCTCCAACGACACAAAAAAAACCAGAATAAAAAAAATTCTAATGCTCTCAGCAAACATACCAGAGCGACTGAATTGCGTATGAATTCCTCGAATTTTCACATTTTTCCGCGGAAACATGGATACAAATACCAAAAATTTGTCAATCAATTTTATTTGACCTGCACCTGCAGCCCGATGTAATCCAAATGAACAAATAAAAACACAAAAAAACGAATAAAAAAAACTTGAATAAAAAAAATTATGCCAATTAGCGCGACATTCTTCAATGAAAACACGTGATGCCGGTTGGATTGCGTACGAAATACTGAATCCGTCCTCACAACAACCGTGTGGAGGCCCCTCTCGCCAACAATAAATCCAACCGCGAAGAAGTGTGGGAGCGTTACCCTAGTGTAAAGCCCAAACCATGAGGCACAGGGAGGGGGTAAGAGAGGCACACCACGTTTGGATCACAGTTTATCCATCGTATGGGTGCGTGTGTCATAAACGAGCGTTGATTTTACGTTTGTAAACTCATGTGTGGACCCAGCGGTACCGCAGGAGGAAGGAGGGGGTCTCCACATGCTGCGGAGATTTGTGCCCCCACGGGCGTCATAATTTGTGTTCTTTCCACGGCCACGCTTGTGCTCCACCCGCTCACCAATTCCCTCTTCTCAATTCTCTGTTCCTCTTCCCCTCGTTCACCGTCAGTCGCTCTATCCCGCTCTCTTCCTGCCACTGCGTGGCGCCAAGGGGACAGCATTTGGAGTCATGCACCTGACCCAGACACGTTCGCACATGCATCGGAAATATCTGTGCACAGAAGCCCTCTTTGAGTGCTCCAACTAATGAGTAATTCCATTTTTTAGCAGTGCCAAACCGACCAAAAGCAACTGTAATGTAATTAAATGAACAAAAAACACAGAAAGACGAAGCAAAAAAATTAAAAAGCAACAAATTTGAGTATGTGTATTTTTAAGTCATTTAGAAAGATCAGGTAGTCTAGTAATTTTTATAATTGAGAAAAAATTACATGGCAAAACGTAAGAGTGATGCGAAATACTCTTTCGGGACTCTTACCGCAACTGTTTCTCTGTATAGAGACGGGTCCCTGTCAATCAGTGACATTAATATGAAAATTAGTGATGATCTCCCTGAAAATTTGTGACAATGTCAATGGAAATTAATGATGATGTCACCCCAAATCAGTGACATGTTCCGGAAAATTAGGGATATGTTCCTGAAGATAAAATCGTTTTTCCTCTGTGCATGGTGGTAAGGATCATCCTAATCATCAGTGATTTCTATCACTAAAATTTGTTGATAAACTTCTAACAATTAGAGATGGATCCCTGAAAAAAAGCGCTAGTTTCCTGAAAATTAATGACAACGTCCCTAAAATTTTGTGACAGAATTACAGAATTTCGCACTCGTTGACTGTCGCAATCACAAATCCCTAATAATTGAGAATAAATTCCTGAACATCAGTGACACGTGACGTTTATAACATTACACTCCATTTCATCTTCTTCGTTAAAATTAAAAGCAATCTACCTTATTTCACATACATTCTGCTTCCTCACATCCTCAATTCCCCAGACTTACGGAAGAATCCATCGCATCGTAAAAAATGATATTTTTACCCTTGCTTATTTTCTTTTCATCTCTTCAAACTGGGTGAGAGCGGTTAGAAAGACGAAGAAAAGGGTGGGGACACGAGTTGGAAAAATAAAGTATATGTGAACGGCAACATTTGCGAGAATGCAATACATTATCCTGTGGGAGTAAATTCACGAGAAAGTACGCGAGGCGTCGCGACAAATCTCCTTGGCCACGGTAGAGACCAATCCTGTGCGTGTCTCCCTTCCACTCACTAGAAAAATAACAACCCCGGAAGAAAGGGAGAGAGTGAGAGGCAGTAGTGAAAGAGACTGGAGGTGTGTGTGTGTGTGTGTGTGGATCGAGAGCATGTGAGGGCTACACTGGACGACTCGTTTCGAGCTCAACCCTTGGTGCACCATCGTGCATGTGCCGACGGAGTCCAAAGGAGACGGGGGCTGAAGGAGCCAGCAAGATATTATGCAGATAAGACATTCATTGCCATCGGAACTCGCGATCGGGTACCGCCTTTATTTTTCGAGATGAATAGAAATGGAGCCAAGAACACAGAATGGAATATTTCTGGCGAGTGGTGGGTGCGGAAGTGCGAGGGGAGCAAATTCCATTTTATTGAGGGGCGGGGGAGGCTGGGCGAGATGAAGAGTAAAGACATTTTTGGGCGACAGTTCTGACATTCTTATTCGTGACAATATGACATCCTGATAAATTTTTTCACGTTTAGTTCACGCACTGATAGACTGATTCATTTATTCCAAACGAGATTCGTTAGCTATTAACGAATGGCAGAGTTGAATATGACCAAATGAATACTCGTTAATAGTTAACGAATGGTTCACTTGAAAAGTGAAAATCGAGTCAAACAAGGCTCCTCAGCTGTGTATTTGTTAACTATATATTACTGGCGAGTGGTGGGTGCGGGAGTGCGAGGGGAGCCAATTCCATTTTATTGAGGGGCGGGGGAGGCTGGGTGAGATGAAGAGTAAATACATTTTTGGGCGACAGTTCTGACATTCTTATTCGTGACAATATAACATCCTGATAAATTTTTTCACGTTTAGTTCACGCACTGATAGACTGATTCATTTATTCCAAACGAGATTCGTTAGCTATTAACGAATGGCAGAGTTGAATATGACCAAATGAATACTCGTTAATAGTTAACGAATGGTTCACTTGAAAAGTGAAAATCGAGTCAAACAAGACTCCTCAACTGTGCATTTGTTAACTATTAACGAATGAACATTTGGTGAGACCGAGTAGACCCTCGTCTCTAACCAAATCCATTCGTTAACAATGACTAATTTTTTCTTTCAGTGCACTATCAATTTTTTATGTCATGGCTACGTCAAAAGTGCGACTTATTACTTTATTTTACGTTATTTTGCGTGAACAAATTCTTATTATTCATATTATTCAAACTGGAGGGAAATCTGACGTTTCTTGAATTGAAAAGTTTTCATTTTAAAACGTAAACCAGAAAGAACGGTTTCACTGAAATTTCATCTCGTACTGGGGTGGGATAAGATAAAGAGGAAGCGGTCTTTCTGGCATTCAGGTCTGTGTTTTCCAGATGTTTTATTCGCGTTATTGAATTTTTTAGAATTTATTGAAGATGAAGGCGGCAAAATCTTCATCGTAAATGAATTCTGATCTTATGTGTACATACACCGTATGAATTATAATTCATACTCACCCAAAAAAGTACTATTCCGAAGAACGTAGGCAAAAATTCCGCAAAAATCGACATTCCGATGAATTTTCTTTCTCTTCCTCTTTTCATTCCAAACATTAGTTATGAATGAATTATCATGATTATCACAGTTGATTATTTGTTATTGAAAGGATGATCCAGGATTATTTTTGTCATTTGACAGGGGATTAATTGATATTGGAAAGAGTGAATACTCTTTCCCGTATCAATTATTCATGTTATTTCAAAATGGATTCAAAATGGATGAAAATTCCCTGACGATTCTTGAACTGGAAATTTCTCATTTTAAACCGTAAAATAGAAAGAACGGTTTCACTGCAATTTCATCTCGGACTGGGTGGGATGAGGTGAAGTGTGAAGATATTTTCGAGCGGTATTCTGGCATTCACCTCTGTGACAATATAACATCATAAAGTATTCATTCATGTTTTATTCGCGTATTTGAATTTTTCAGACTTGATTGAAGATGAAGGCGGAAAAATGATCTCTTCCTGAAAGGGGGGGGGGTCTGTGTATGTAGCACTTTGTGACGAAAGAAGGGAGGGAGTTGCTGAGGTTCTGCTGTCGCACCATATTTTTCCTCATTTCTAATCGACGAAATCGTCAATGCAATTTTCTTCTTGTGCCCTTCTTCTCACGAAAAAACAGGTTTTTCTGTACTGTTTCTCACGATTTCTCGTCTGGGAATTGGTATTACATACTTCCCAAACTCGAAAACTTGAAAATCACTACAGAAAAATATTGTTCCTGGGCTGTTGCGATGGGGTTTTTTCACTCGTGTGGTTGGCCAGTTCTTGCCCGGCTCGGAGGCCACCGCCACACGAGTAAAAAACCCCATCGCAACAGGCCAGAAAAATACTATTTTTCATGAGCTCTTCAATCTATACGCAATATTTACAATGAGGAATTTCGAAATAATGGCAACAATTCAATTGGTTACGAAATGTTCAAAGAGCACTATTAAAAAAAAGACCTTGAATTCAATTTAAAGGGAAAAAGTCAATGGAATTTCAAGCTGAAAATTGAAGTAAAGTGTCAGTTTTTTAACGGCAAGGAGACGGAAATTCCACAATTGACATGAATTTTCCCTGAAAATCCAGAGGAATCTGGAATTGAAGAGGGATTTCTCCGAATTTTCCTGATTTTTCACTAATTTTTCCGGAATAATTCAACTTCAATTCACAGTTCCCACAGATTTTTCCACGAGAATATGAATTTTCATTGACAAAATTCGTTGAAATTTCAGTTGAGTGTTACTTGTTACAAATTCCCAAGACCCTTATCGGAAATTTCAGTGAAAATTTTCCAACACCGAGCATCGCTTACAGACTTAATTATCACCTAATGATTTGCGTTTTGTTGAATTCAATTTTATGAAGAAACTAAAAAAATCGCGGCAACAGTGCGGGTGCTCGTGGATTTTGTTCCGTAATACCAGAATGGCCATAAACAATAAAACAAGTGAAATATTTTTGCTAAACTATCCAGAATAACGCTACATACGACAAGTCCGAATAGTTCTACGAATGTCCACGGTACGCAACATTGTAATACAAATTGAGAGACATCAACAGTGACCCGTTAACACATGTAAATTCCACCATGGATATTAAGACAGAAAATACTTACGAAGTAATAACACGTGTCAGTGGATCCTGTAACATTAACTGGGCGAGTGAGTACTCTGCGGGTTTCTGACATGATTCTGCAACATTGTGAAAATCCTCCCGCAGTGCCCGGACCTCACCCTCCGCCACCACTCCATCAACGCCGGAACGCCAGTGCGAGATGTGCCCGCAGTCGCTTGTCCAACTGTTTTACCGTGTATATAGCAATGGCGCCACCCGGTTAACGCTCGCCTATAATTAAGCTACTTGTATTCGCAAAATAATTGGAGAGTAGAGTATAATTGGCTGAGCATAACATACGTGGTGAAGCACTGGGGTTTATAACATTCAGCATCAAAGAA